CACCACTCCCCTCAAACTATTGATGACTTTGATTTTGAAACCAACGCCACTGAAAACTCTAATTACTCCAAACTTTACCCATATTGCTCAAACTCAGCCAGAACTTTCTCAAGTTCTTTCTGATATTGATCAGTATAACTCATCAAATGATACTCCCCAACCAGAAAATCCAAACATCCCCTCTAACCAACCAATGCCTGAATCAATTTCAGAAATACCAGGCATAACCACCCCCTCTCAATTCTGTTGAACCATATAATATCACCCTTTATCAACCACAGAACATCTTTATCATCCCAGACATTCCCTTTCCACAAATATCTCCATATAACTCACCTATTTCCACTCATAACTCACCAGAACATCACCCTCCATCTGAACAACCAGAAGATCCTCTATGCACTGTAGTTGATCAATAATCTTTGAACAAACTCATTAATTCCTCTCAAAAAATAGTCGTTCTAAAACCTAAACCAGAACCAGCCAAACCAGATGTTGGTAAATTATTGTTGGATTTTGAAACAGAAATGCAGGGATGGGTTTACTCCTTGAAGCAGGCTTGTGTCAACAATCTGAATCCAGCTGCTTTTGATTCTCTATGGACTTCGTTCAGAAAATGGTTTAACTCAAAATCCCTCAAGCTGAAGGAACTGAGTTATGAGTATGCTCAGCATAATTTCTGTGATCAGCTGAAGTTTTTCAAGAAACAAGTTTTGGATATCTGGGAAAGGAAACCTCTCATGCAACTGGACAATTTTCGGAAACATGTTCTAGGATCATAAGAAGTTTGTGAAGATATGGTTGAAGAATCTTCTCAAACAGAACCTCAACCACAACCTCTGATCATCTTTCAATACAAAGGGAAAGTTGTTGCAGAATCTTCTGCTAATTTTGTTGCTGCTGAACCAGCTCTTACTTCTCTTGTGCTGAAAACTCTGGATGAGTTGAAGAAGGAAAATGAAGTTGTGAGAGAAAGATTGGATAAACAGGATGAAACCAACAGAGAGATTAAGGGACAGTTGGTCAAGCAAGAAGAATCAAGCAATCAGATCAAAGGACTTCTGGAGGCATTGTTCGCATGACTTTCACCTCCTTCACAATCTTAGATCTCGTCTTTTGTTTGTTTCTGCCATGCTTTATGTTTATGTTTGTTTGTTTATGTTATGTTTGTTTGCTTATGTGTGTATTAATCGTTGTTCATGAATGCATAACCTTTTTGTTCTCTTTAAGTGTATTGCTTTTTTATTTATGACAAAAAGGGGGAGAAGTGAAAATATTTTGATACATATAACAGTTATTCCGGACTAAGTCTCAAACATTGTCTAACAAAATTGTGAGATTGTTTTTTCTCAATAGTTTATAGGAACTATATCACTCTAAACTTGTGGTAAGCATTTTCAGCCTTCAACATAGGCTTCTTAGATCTTTCAGCATATACTCTGATTAAAATACCTTTAGGGAAGTTCTCTACTTCTTATCTTTATTGTATCTGAGTATTCAACTCAGGGGGAGACTCTGGTTATTATTTTATAAAATACAAAATTATTCATCAAAACATGTAAGTTTTGTCATCATCAAAAAGGGGGAGATTGTTAGAACATGGTTTGGTTCTATATCTATTCCATAGTTTTGATGATAACAAATACATAAATTTTGTATAAGATAATCTGGTACTCTAATCGTGTGTTTGTATGAACAGAGAAGATCTAACAAAGAGACATAAGAAGTTGGCGAACAAATATGCATTAAGAAGATCTGTTGAGATTATCTGATCAGGATAAATTAAAGTATCACGCTCATACAAGAAGTTCTGACTCAAGGACAAAATTTTGAAAGCACCAAGTTGCAAAGATACTCTGATAAGAAAGCTATGATAGAATGAAACACAATCAACATCTTTATTAAGATTCAAAGTTCTGGTCAGAAGATTCACCTCTTTAATATCCTTCAAGTTTGTAACGGCTGAATCATTATGAAGGGAACAAGATCTGCATTTTTGGAAAGTTATTTATCTCTCAATATCATCCTTCCATTTTCGGAATCCTTGTCTCCAACGGATCTAAATAGTTTTGCCTATATAGAGATCTCAAAAGGATGAAAGACAACAACTTGCACGCTTACAATTGTACCATTCTAAGAGTATTTCATACTGTTCATAGTTTTAATATTGTGTAAAAAATCACAGTTGTGATATAGCTTTCTAGAAGCATTACTGTACACGTCGTTTTATTCACCTTCTTGTAAAATTCCTTGAGAAACCAAGTTGTGGTTAGATCTCTCAAGAAGACATTGACGGTAGTCTTTGTATGTTGTAATCAAGTTTTGATTAGTGGATTAAGACTTCGACTGAGAGAGGTGAAATCACTTTGGCGGGTGGATTGGAGTAGTTTGAGTTTTTGAGTTCAAAGAACCAGGATAAAAATATCGTGTCATATCGTTTTAATTTTTGAAAACCCAAATTCAACCCCTCCCCCATATTCCTTGTGTTTTTCTTCACTTCACTATTTGCATTGGTTGCTAGAATTAAACCCATAAGGCTAGTTGTTGATATTTTTAATAACAACAATTAGTTCATCTATTAAATGAATGTCAAATATGCGCTTTTGAACATACCACTTGAAGAGGAAGTGTATGTAGAACAATCCACTAGTTTTGTTGTAAAAAAGTAAGGAGGGAGTTCTACAAGTTGAGAAAAGTGTTATATGGTTTGAAACAAGCTCTGAGAGCTTGGAACAAAAGGATTGATGGTTTTCTAATTGAGTTTGGATTCAAGAAATGTTTATCCGAACATGACGATATGTGAAGACTGATACAAGTAAATGAGTGATCATTATTTGTCTATATGTAGACGATTTATTGATTATGTGTGGCGACAAGAAGGGTATTTTTAATTTCAAGAGTGAACTTATGAAAGAATTCGAGATGAGCAACCTTAGTATCATTACATACTTCCTTGACATAGAGTTTCACAAGTCTAGAAGGGGGACTGCTTATGCATCAAAGGATACATGCCCTTGAGATATTGAAGAAATATGAGATTGAGCATTGTAATGCTATTGTTCCACTAGTTGTACCAAGGCTTCAACTACTAAAGAATAAAGAGGAGCAGAATGTTGATCCAACTCAATTTAGAAGGTTGATTGGATCTTTACGTTACTTGTGCAGTACGCGACCAGATTTGGCGTTTAGTATCGATATTGTCAGTAGATTCATGAAGAGACAGAAGGCATCTCACTTGACAACATTCAAGAGCAATTCCCTTTTCCGCTATGGATATAGAAAGAAAATGCAACTTAGTCGATTTTACCGATTCCAATTGGTGCGAAGATAAAGATGATCGAAAGTCTACAACTAGATACATTTTTATGTTCGGTAGAACACCAATCTTATGGTATTCGAAGAAGGAATCGGTGGTGGCACTCTCGTCTTGTAAGGTTGAGTACATTGCTGCTTTGTTATGTGTGTGTCAAGCCGTGTGACTAATGAATATATTGATTGAACCGGACAACTGTGAGGGTGAGGTTCTTACATTCCTGGTTGACAATGTTTCCGCGATTAGTCTTGCTAAGAATTTAATTGTACATGGAAGGAACAAGCGCATTGAAATAAAGTTTCACTACTTGGGAAAACTTGTTAGTGAAGAAAATTTAAGATTGAGATATTGTAGAAGTGAAGACTAAGTTGTTGATTAAGGGAGACATAAATGATATGTTCAAAAGGTTGAAGATGGACATGGACATGACAAATTTGGAACACTTGAAATAAGGTGGTGAGTTAAGAATTTTTTAGTATTTCAAGTGTTGTAATCGGTTAACACGGAGGGTGTAACCGATTACATGCATCAAAATAAGTCAATAAACTGATAAAAAAATAATTTTGAAGTTGGTGTAATCAGTTACGCATTTGTAGTAACCCATTACAGTTGTTAGTTAATTTATGATTTTTAGTCGATGTAATCGATTACAAGTTTAATGTAACCAGTTATAGGTATAACATTTTACTTTTTCTGGTTTTTGATTTGATATTTTTGTACCTCAATTGATACATATATATATATATATATATATATATATATATATATATATATATATATATATATATATATATATATATATATATATATATATATATATATATATATATATATATAATGACAATAAAAAATATCAAATAATTTATCACCCCAATTAAATCTCTCTAATTCTCCTTAATCTCTCTGTCTCTAATTCTCCACACTCAAATAGACTATTATTCACCAATATATGATTAAGAAGATCAATATATGATTAAAATAATATTTAAATAAAAGAAAACGAATAGTAAAATAAAATTTAGTGGTAAAGTTACAAAAGTATGAAAAATGAAAGGTAGTCAATCCTTTCCCTATATTGTAACACCAAATCCTTCATATTTTCACCCTCTTGGCAAAATTTTGTGATACGGCGATTTTTCATCAATTGCATCGGAGACACTTATAGGCTACAAAGAATCCCAGGTAAATATCGAAGCAAGCAACACTTCATTTTTGTGTCGTGTAGGAATTTGATTATGACTCAATTAAGACAAGACAAAATAAATGTGCAATTTAATGGATCTTGCTTTCATTTCTTTCATCTCTGTTGTGATTTTGAATTACAGCTTAAAAACCATCGACTTTTTAGTAACTTACTGATGTGTAAGTTAATAATTTGCTATCTATATACGTATAATATAAGTCATTGATTTCATTTAATATAAGACATCCCTTGACATTTAATACACTTTTTGCTCCAAATTTAATGTTTCCTGTTTACTTATTAAAAGTAAAATGATTATATACTACATTTAAAAATGAATGTATAAGTAAAATTTATCAATTAAATATATTTGACACTCAATTGGGACAAAATTAAGTGCCTATTTTTCATTCACTTCAAAAATTAAGGATCCTTGGTTGGTTGACACAAGCACTAAAAGCTCCATACTAGATGGCATATATACCTTCTACTAACACCGCTCCCTCAAACAACGATTCCATCTCTCCTCATCTTCAAAGTCATAACCTTTCTCTTTTTGTTGGCACGATGCTTGGCAGAAATTTTCAATTTCCTTTTGGCATTTCGCATCGGGTTGATAACAGCCATGAGCTTTTCTTCTTGTTTCCTCTTATTTCTTTTCAAACTCAGGTTCTTCCTGATAAGGTTATAAACTTGGACAAAGTTTTGAGTACCAATAATATTCTCTATTTTCCCACAGGTGTCTCCTGCCAACTTTTTCAGATTATCTGGTAAACAACAATCATACTCAAAACTGTTGGTAACATATGCGAGGATCTTGAATCAGATAGAACAGTGTATATAATATCTACTATACAGGAAATTTAAGAGGGAAACGAGAAATTACCAGCTACCACTTTTCCAGCAAATCCTTCAGAAACTTTATACAGAGGTATCAGGACTATGTGTGCATAGTCCATGCTCATCTCTATCTGTGCCATAAGTTTACCAAAACTGTTGAAGACTATTTCCATCTGTTAAACAAGAAATAATATTACTCATATGCACATTGGTCAAGACTAAACAACATATATGCAATGAGATCAATTACCAACCTGAATAGCATCTGTTTGAAGAGCAATTTTGCCCATCTTCTTGAGCAATAACGATACAAGTATCTGTTGGGTGTTCTTAACATTAACTTGACTACTGTCTTCACATACGGAGGAGGTAAGTGATGAAGACATGAACATCATTCTTCCTTTTCTTGCATTAATCAAGTCAAAAGCTTTGAGAAACCGATTCTTCTCATTTTGCTCAAGAGTAGACCAGAATGCAGATGGATCTATGCTGGCAGTTTGCCTCATTAAAGCAAAAATAGCAAAGACAATATTCTGGGTCATCAGGTTGCTGTCAACCTCATCTATGAGTGGCATTTTCAATTGGCAGCAAAGAGAAGTGGCTATTAAATATAATCTACTAGGACTCATCATAAAATAACTATTTAAGGAGCTTTGATGATTTTCTCTGTTGTTATCTGTTACACGTGCAAAGTATAGAGCTATGAGACGACCCGATTTGTTGCGTAACCAAGAGTGTGGGTGCAACAACATCTCACATATTGCTTCCCATATACCCTGAAATGTAAGGAAAAGAAATATGTCAGCGTGCTTATTAGAAAAAAAATTATTAATAAATCCCCGCATGTCCATTAAAGGGCAGGAAAGAACTGTCTCCACTCTGCAATAAGCAGCTACATGCACCACAGAAGAAATCCAAGTCCGTATCTATTTAACAGACAGTACAACAAAATTTACCTCTAGTTCCTTTGTAAAGCATAAGTCATGGAATTGATGAATTATCTTGCCCAACATAACTAAAGAATAGTACGCCTCCTTCCAAAGTGGAAGGTTGGATTCGGACTCAAAGCTCTTTTGCCTGTTTGTGACATGTATAGCAGACTGCAAGATGCGACAAGTCACCGGCAAAATGTAGTCTATATGACTAAGAAATTCATTCTTTACTACCTCAATCAGCAACCCCAAAACCTGTATCGGCCATTTCAGAGATAAAAAACAGACAGAAAAAAACAATGGTAAGATAATTGTGTTTGAGAAAATACAAGAAAAATAAAAAAAAATTAACAGATTGGTTCTAAATTCTTACTACTGCATGCCCTATGGAAAACTAAAGCTATTGTGATTCTAAGGTCAAATTGGTGGTCTGGACACCAGCTCTCAAGATGATGATTATGATTATGATTATGATGATTATTATTTTTGTTATTATTTTTTTTTTATTGTTATTGTTATTATTATTATTATTGTTATTATTATTATTATTATTATTATTATTATTATTATTTTATTATTATTATTATTATTATTATTATTATTATTATTATTATTATTATTATTATTATTATTATTATTATTATTATTATTATTATTATTATATTGCTAACAGAGCTCTTTCTCCTTTATTAGATTGCATTATGTGTAATTCTAGTTTCTAAACAGCAACCAATATAATATAATGAACAACAGCCATATCATTTGGAATTTTTTGACGAGTCTTGGAAGTTTCATCTAAATTTAGAGCATTATCTTTCCAATTTGTCAATGGACGAAGTAAAGAGATCATTTATGCTTATGTGGCACCTCTATTTTGCTCTTTGGGTATTTGGTCAGAAAGAAATGCTTGTATTTGGGGTTATGCTAATGTGGCACTTATTTTGTTCTTTGGACTATAGAGTATTTGGTTGGAAAGAAATGTTTGAATTTGCTGGGGGGGTTCATCACATCCATGTCTTTGCTATGGGCTATGTTTGTTTTCTGCTTCTCAGCTGCTCCACCAATGGTCTCCTCCATCAAGGAGGATCTCCAGTAAAAATGAAGAGGTATGGGGGTTGATCATTAATGGCTCTTTAATTTCAACTGTCTGTAATTTTAGGGAATCTCCAAAAGAAATGATGAGGTATTGGACACATCTCTAGTCGACGTGGATATGACAACACATACTAAAGTTAAATTGTAATTGTTGAAGAGTCCCACATCAAATGAGTGATGGCCTAAATAATTGTTTACAGGTGGGGGACACTCCTCGCCTTATAAGGAGGTTTTGTAGGAATGACGAGTTAAGCTCAACTCAAAGATGGTGTCAGAGTCTATCCATGACCAATTTGGGTTATCTACTATCAGGTTTCCACCCACCGTTTATATTTATGCACCAAGCCCGGTGATGTTGGGCGTGAGGGGGTATGAAGAGTTCCACATCGAATGAGTGATGGCTTCAACAATTGTGTATAAGTGGGGGAACACTCCTCATTTTATAAAGCCGATTTTGTAGGGATGAGTTAGGCTCACCTCACATTCTAAGAGTAACTATCTAATTTATTCACAAAGAAGGACCCAAAGACCCAAACAGCCACGATCTGCTAAGATGATCATATTACAATCAGACCCAAAATGTAGGTATTGAGACAATATGATATTCAAATTTAAGCTTTCTAATCACTTTATGATTCACAAGAAAATTTAGAGAGAAATACCTGTGTGGCAGCAGCCCAGAGTTGCTGCTTGTCACCTGAATACCAAGAAAGAGCATATTTAAGAATAGGTTTAAGTGCACTGGAACTAACAGAACCAATGAGCTTCTTTATAGTAGCCCCACTCATAGAACAAACAATATCATCATTATCATTTGCCAAGCAAGCTACCAAATGGAGAAAAAATGTCTTTGACTGCTCGTCCAAAACATCTCTTGGAAATTTGACTATAATAGCATGAATCATTTCAAGAACAGATTCCCGCCCAGTCGAATGTTCATACCTGTAAGGGTAAAACATCCATTGGCCTAAAATCAATCTTCAACAAATGAGAAAGAAAACTATAATATTAATAATAAAGAAACATATTGTGCACTTACCTCAAATTCGAGAGCAGGAAGTCAAGATGTTGTTGCCTGCGCTTTTGTGAAAGTCGATAATCAAGCAAAAATTGCAACAATATTTTACGGCATATCTCGCGAATAGATTCCATTTGACTTGTGACCATCAATTCAGCAACCCTAGTAACAATATCATATATCTCAGGTACAACCAGCTTGCGGTTGACAATACCCTTTAGAAGTGAAAGGGCTACCAATGATGGATTTCTTTCGAGGTCCAGAAATATTGGAAGCTGAATTAGTATATGTATCTGATCTGGGGTGAGAGAAATTTCAGTGTTTCTCAAAAGCATAGTCAGCAATCTCAAACATGACTGCATTAAAGGACTGATAGAGTTCACTGAACTTTGGGCAATATCCAATACAGCAGACTTTATTCTCTCAGCATGTACTTGAAGAGATGGCAAAGGCAATTTTACCATTACAGTAAGGCATTCAAGGGAAGCAGACAATATCTCCTCGTACTTCGAGTACAAACCATCACTTAATAGCTTGACAAATCGATCTGATAAGGATAAGGTATTTTCATCTTTTACACCCTGTTTCAAACCCTTCATACGTTTATGTAATGTTCTGATACCAAACACGGTTATCAGATGTGAGCATAATAAGCCACTAGCAACTACACTGCCTGAATTAGCGTTAGTATGGCTATCCTTATCTTCCAATTTTGTCAACTTATTCTCATGCCAACCATTCTCATTCTGTAAGCCATCCACAACAATGTCATAAATAAAGTCAAATAGATCAGCCAGATTTACAGATCGATTGCTTTCAATACCAGTAGCTATACTATGCAACATATTTTCCAATCTTCCTTTTACATTTTGCGTGACATGTTTCTTCAAATGAGCAGTCACTGGTGCAAGCAGCTTTAGCGCATAGTTTTTTTGTTTTTTTTTTTGGCAGGGCTTTAGCGCATAGTTTTTGAATGTAATGTTTTGGGCCACCAATTTCAAGCTCTCAAATGACTTTTTCCTCTTTGTTTCTTTCATTTTTGAAGCTATCTTTTCCACCTCCTTCTGTTCCGCAACAGCTCCAAAAATGTCATTCTCTATGATAGAAAGGAGATCCTCCAAACAGTCATCTATCTTTCCACTCGCTGCATTTGAAAGACAATTGGACAAAATAAAATTCAGTGTGTATCCTAGGACATGAAGTTCATATCCTCGCTTTAAGGTAGATCGCAAAACCTTAACAATGACCGGCAAGTATTCCAATCCAAGTTCTTTCAAACAAGTAACCAATGCAGACCTAGCTTCATCACGAATGCTTTCTAGATGACTCTTCAAGAAGTTTGAAATTCGATGAAGGATAGTTGAAAGATATGTGTCCATCACATCACCTGGAAGTAACTTAAGTAGTTTTAATGCAGCAAGACTTATATTTACATTGACCTTTTCTGAATCAGAATCCATCAGCTTTTGTATCTTAGGAAGCACAACTTTATAGAGGCACGTCTGTATATCTGTGTTCACATCAGACGTACCAAAGTTTCCTAAATTAACTGAAGAAACAATGTCACTTATCCCCATGTCAGAAGCACAAGCCAATGATTTCTTAGGTTCTTCAGTGTGAGAAAGTTCTGAAAAGTGAAATTTATCCAAAATAGAACAGATGAGGCGTATAAAGAGTTTATGTTTGTCTGAACTCCTGGATGCTCCCTGAAAACATTTGTTCAATAATGCATAGTATGACTTCCATCCCATCTGACCAGCTACAGAAGCAATGGTCTCTATGCATGCAGTTTTCATATGGTCCACCTTTCCTTCTTTCTCATCTAACAACATGTTGAAGAAGAGTCGCATGAACACTTTTTCAGTGATAAACTGGAATAAACCATAAATAATTAAAAACCAACCACTAGAGGAACTTATCCAAAAAAAATAGTCACTAGGAATGATGCTTTTACTTGTGAAGTTAAACTTAGTACCTCTGATAATTTGTTTGTGCTGATAACATTTCTAAACAGCGACAATGCCTTCACTCTCTTACGGATCTGCAATATCAAATTTACTTCTGTGAGATGTTGTGCAATCAATTTTAATAACTCAACCAAAAATTATAGCTAAAATAACAAGACAATGAGTCTGAGTGTTTCTGACAAAGGCGCAGAACATATATATAAAATAGATGACAGAGGCAACTAAGAGTAACAACAAATAGGGAAATTACTTAGATTAATGGTTAAACATCTATGAAGCACGGACACCTCTAGGCGTAGGCGTGTCGCGGTGTCCGACACTTGTATGACACATGTACGACACGTGTTGAAAAAGTCAGACAAGTGTCGCCAAAAATTGACTTTTTTATATGCTTCGACACTTGTTGAATCGGTGTCTGACACTCGTATGACACTCATGCAACACGTGTCACACAATTCAGACAAGTTTTTCAAAAACTATTTGTTTTTAATTTTGCTTCATCACAATTTATACATTTTTTTGACAAATCTCATTAACATCTAAAATGGTTAAACATGTTTTGAAAGAACGATATCAATGAAGAACAAAACATATTAATTTTGATTAGAATATTTTTAATTCTTGTAATGATAGAGGGATAAATGAAACTCAAATATTATACATAGCAGTGTCGGTATCCTATATTTTTACATTATCGGTGTCGGAGTGTCTGTGTCGTGTCGCAGTGTCTGTGTCGGAGTCTGCACTTCACAATTAAACATAAACCTACCACTGAATCGGTTATATTGTCAAAAAAATTTGCTTTACTGTCCTCATTGCACAGAACTGTGAGTGATTTAAGGTTCGACACATCTGGAAGCTTTAAAGCCATTTGACTTAACAACTTCATCCATCCCTGCAATGACATCAAACAACATATGAACATAGAGGATTAAACAATCTTTTTCATGAAATTTATATTTACATTGTCAATCAGTAATTAACTTTGTATCTATGTCAGTATCACTCCAACATCTTTGCCACGCTTGGAAATAGGAGTGACAACTATTTGTCAAACTAGACATGGGATTGAGTCCGAACATATGCAGATATAATTACATATAACTACAAATTCATACAGTACCCAACTCTGAAATATGACTATATAACATGAATTACCATGTACCTTTCTAACAGAAAGCGGTCCATCCATGGCATCTGCCACATGCTTCAACAGAAATTTCTTTGTAATGTGGTGGATGCATGATTTTGTCCAACAACTATGAGTGTTTTGCATTACAGACAACTCCTGTTCACTGCCTACCTCTTGCAAAAGGATGAGTGCAGAAAAATCAATAAAAGATAGCAATGAACTATGAGCATTATAAACAAACATTGTTTCTTCTGAGGACATGTCAAGCACACAGTGGGATAAAATAAGTGATGCATGTTCCACTTCAACATTTCTAAAGAAATCTGTATTGATGTTTTTGTAGGCATCCAAAATAACATCATGATCAAGCCAACCCAAACTAGATCTTGAATTCAGCTGACGAAGAAGTTTAGCCTGCACCCCAACAACATAGCAAGGAAAATTAGAACGGAACACGGAATGTAGAATGTATTTGTCAGAAAGTAATGGGTGGATCAAGAAAGACATTTAGACAAGAAAGCAATCAGTACCACCAAGAGTACAGATGCATCATATGCAATAAGAACATCAAGAAGATCACATATCCTCATACGCATATCTGACTCAGCCGAAACATATAAAGGAGAAACAGCACTCAAAATTTTAGTGGTGCTTCCATTTCCTAATATGGGTATGATGTTTTGAATGACTTGCAAGACTTCAATACGAACATCTACAATATAGCAAGGAGAACTCCGATATCAATATAAAAATTATTTCGCTAAAAAAGAAAAGGATGATAATAAGGCAACTGGAGATATTAGGGGTTCTCTCACCAGAACTATGTGTTTTCATTTCCAAAAACGGAAGCAGTATTTCCACAAACCGCTTGCCAAACTCTGCCTCCTTGATGTACTTAGGTAAGAATTTGAAAATTCTTATCAATGTCTCCCCAGGAGATTTGATTAGTTTTCTGTCCAAAGAAAAAATAATGGTCAAAACATTTGATACTCAAGCCCCAACTCCCCTCTACATGTTCATATACAAGAACACAAGCTGACAAAAACTAAATACCTCGAGGATGCATTACCACTTTCAAATAAACAACAAATGCTGTCCATAAGCACTTCAAAATTTGAAACTAAAACTCTATGGGCAGAACTGTCTACATAATCCAACTGATTGTCAAGGCTTAACAAGTTCTCGACAAACTTGAGAACGCAGTTTACAATAGCTTCAGAAGCTGAATTTACAGAAACAATGGAAAATATATCAGGTATGAGACTTTGTTCCCGGCATAATATTGCTACCAGTTTATGGTTTGAACTCATGGCCAGAAAGCAAGTTAGCAGTGAACTTGGTTTCTCACTACTGGCAGCCTCCTGTTTGAATTTATCAACCAGGGGTTTTACAGAGGAAAAGAATCTGTCCCACATATCAGAATCAAATTCATGATCCTCGTATTTATTGACAACATAGGAAATAATTTTCAGGCACTGAGATCTCATATCCTTGAGCTGATTTGAAGAATTGCCAATCTGCACAAAACAAATACAAAAAAGAATATCAAATCGAATAAAACAGACAACATAGATCATATAAGGCATAAGAATCATGTTTTTGGATAGAACTGCTTAATCTAGTTTTAGAAGCTATCAAACAACAATACAATGGATAACAATGATACAAATTACAATGCAAAACAACAAAAAAGAAATTTCATAATTAACCGTACAAATTGTGATTGAATTATGTCGTCAAATTTGTGGGGAATCCTCAAAAAATGTTGTGTATTAAGGACTAAAAGGTTATTTTAGTCTAGAATAATCCCAGCATTATGAATAAGTGAACATTGAAACATAAGCTTCTCACTACTTAAATTTTAAACTAACATCTATTCCGAAACGGAAATTTCATCCTCAAGTTCACGTAAACATAGTGTGCTACACGAAATTTGCATTCAATGTGAACAAAACATTACCAATGTTTGATTTTCTACCACACTTTCCTTGCCAAAGGAGTTTGAGCTGGGGCTAGAATTGTGTTTGTCTGAAGAAAGTTCATTCAGTTTTTCGTTGTCAAGACTTGATGTGCAACTCAACACTCGAACAACACACCCCACCAGCAAATCAAGAAAAGGTCTAATATGCAATTCATCAAAAACTCCAACAACATCTTCTATGACATGCAAGAAACCGTATTTCATATTCCAGGATAAGGTTGCAATATTGTCCAAAGTAAAGTATTCTAACAAAGAAGACGCTTGAAATTCATTAGTGCAACCTATAGGTAAAGTCCAAAACAAGTTAGCTGGTCCATCAGTTTTCTCTACTATTTGCAACGGCTTTATCAGTAATGCAAAGAAAAGAGGCAGCTCAGTGATATCGAGTTCAGCTATGAAACTCAGAATAGCTTTCCGATGACAAATACTTGCTTTCTGTCAATATGTAGAGAAAATATTATCACTCAACCAACTAAAAGGGATGACAAAAGACAGATATACCAAACAATCTCAGAAGTTTGAATTCAATTTACCTTTCGAGATGCAAGTCCTTTCAACTTTCTTACTTTTGGCATCAAAATATGGATAACCAAGGGCACAAGATAAGCTCGATGACATTCTTCAATCATTTTAGATTCCTTGGATAAACTCCATGTAGTTAGTTCCTCCCTTGTACTTTTGGAACTAATCAAGTTTCTCAGATGCTCGGTATATGGTAAAAAGTAATCATCTTTCCAGATTAATAGGCAATCCAGAACTTTAAACTGTATTTCAGGATCGTTTTCTTCAATAAGCCTGTCATAAAATCCCAAAAAAAAAAGAAATGTGGAAGATGTTTAAAATTAGGGACCACCGAGTTTATCTAAGTAACTAAAAAGAAAATAACTTTGCAGTGATGTACAAGTTACACTATCAAATTGCATCTCAACCTATTCTGCAGAACCTCCTTAGTAAATTGGCTCAAGTAAAATGACTCGGGATTTTTCATAAGTTTCAACAAGTTTAGCCATTCCTTCAAGATCAGCTCCCACTGCTTTCCTTTACAAGCATGAGAGTCAAACAATCCCACACTGCAATTTCATTTTTATTAAGGAAAACATATTTAAGTGAAATGCCGAGGAAAACAAATCACAAATTTCAAAATCATGGAAAAGGACTAAGCAGATACTTACCTTGCAAGATCAAGAGTTTTGTATCCTAAGAACTTCAAAAAAAGAGGAATGAATTGCCTAGAGCCAGATTCAATAACAGTTGGAATTTTTTGTAAAGCTTGCAGCAGTAAACCTGAGAAACAAAATCAACTGATTACCAAAACAGCACAATAGTAGAACAATAATAATAATATAAACAAGAATTTAGGCGGTTACAAACTAAACTAAATATACGCTGATTAAACTACTAATAACTTTACAGAGTGGATTAAACTCAATATATGATGTCAATGAACTTGAAACATACCAGCTGGCTGATCAAACGATGTACCATCGGCACTGTTAGAGGTTTCTCTTATTGCTAGACATCTTTCCAGATAATTGACAAAGGTATCCCACACAAGTGAAAAATGCAGGCTAACCAAGACCGAAATGCAATCTAATACATGATTCCAGATATCGCTTAATTGGATATTCAAGATGCCAAATAACCCACTCAAAACAAGAGGTGCATAAACATCTGTAATCCTTCCGGCAGATAGGTCCATCCGTATCTTAGAAATCAATAGTTGGATACTTCGGCTTGTAGAAAATGAAACTGGAGTTGTTTCAATGGACAGTAGAACCAGCAGAGGCTGTTATTTCACAAAAATACAGTCATACTAAAACTCGAGTTTAAAAAAAAAAAAGATAATGGCGCATAACTTAAAGATACATACATTATTTCCTGTGTTATCCACAATGGAAGTTGGGGAAGCTTCGATTTTCCTTTTCTTCGCAGATGACTGATCCATCGAAGCTTCGATTTTCCTTTTTTTCGAAGCTGACTGATCCATCGAAGAATTTTCCTCACCCAAAGATTTGTAGTGACAGAGTATTTTAAGATTTGGAATGCGAACCTCCTTGTTTGAATGGCACAAATTATCACCAAATGCTGCCACTTCCTCTGCAGTCATTTCTTCAAGTTCTGGATGGTACATTCTACACCCAATATCTTCCAAAGAATAACTATAACATATAAAATTGAGAAGGTTATTCAAATACCAAGGAGTAACAATAACATAGGGACACTTCGACAACTAAAGATTGAGAAACAAAAGAACATTTAAGACATAGTTAACTTTAACATGTCCATTTACCCATACTTGCTTTCCAAATAATCAGCAACAGCCGACAACACATGTGAAGATGACTTGTATCGTTTTGCAAAAAATAAGAACTTTTTGGTTTCATCAGCTCCGAGGTTACTAGCATTGCATAATCTGTTGTAAGAACTTAGTGAAGCACCTATAATGCTTTCCCATGCTTTTTTTGACGTATCTGCAATGTGGACTGAAGATGAAAAAGAGAATAAGAAAATAAGAAATTATGAGTTTAAACATGTGCATATTAGAAAAAAAATGAGTAAAGCTTCAAAAAGATTCTAAGAATACACTAAGGAATATTACTGGAGAATGTTCTCTTTATATACATATACATATATAATTATCAGAATACAACAATCCAACTATAAACCCACAACCATATATTTTATTTTTTAGTATGGTCCAACCCTGTTAAAAGTCATAGCCAACCTAATATAATTGCCAAAACCAAAAACCAACTTTAATATTACCCAGAGACGAGGTTCTAGAAGACTTCTGCTCATAAACGAAAAATCATATTTGAAAAGAGGAAGGGTGGAATACCAGCTTTAACGGTTAGAAGCTGATCTATCGCATCCATAAGATGCACCAACAAAGATGGAATGGCGTCAACAATAGACATATGAGAATAGCAGTTCACAACTCCCCACAACAGTGCCACCTTTCTTTCATCAATTTCACAAGAAACATCAGAATGTGCAATATCATTTATTTTTTCAATCCAAGAACGGATAGTCCCTTGCAAATGATTGCATATCCTAACTAATGCTTCTGCACTTTCTCCGTCTACAAAGTCTGAGTCTCGTATATCCAATTGTAATTTCTCACAGAAGGATTGTAATAGGTGTATGACCTCCTCCTCTGAAATCTCCATTAACTCATCTATTGCACTAAAAAGCAAGTGCGTAAGTCAAATAATACATCCAGAATACAGAACAATGATTTGATCATGTGATTCAAAGGTTACCTTATAACATTACTTTTAAAAGCAAGTAAACAGTGATCCTTCTCTAGCAGTTTTTCAATGAAATGTAGCAAACTGGAACAAGCTCAAATGTGTCACAAGATAGTATTGAAATAAGTTAAACAGAATGTTTAAATCAAAAGTACACTGTTTGTCTCAGCCATTACCTCGAGCTTCGTGATTTAAATATTGGAGCCCACTGAGAAGCACACCCAGATATCATTGATTTGCTGTAACTACAGAGTCCGTCGAGAGTAGCCAACATTAAGTTCAAAACTTCATCAACGACTAAGCATGTATCTTCTTGTGACTTGGCAACACCCAAAGGTGTGATATATGAGCGCACAAGCAAGAGGACGAGTTCAAGCATAGGCTTATAATCTGCCACATGAAAGGGAAGTCGAAATTAGTCAAAAGCATGTGGACAACTAAAGCAACTTACTGAAGAAACTTGAAATAAAATATATTAAATTACACTGAAAAACATTTATTGGCGTGACACTACGCTTTTGACAAAAATGGGAATATAAGAAACAAAACCAAACTAGATTATAGCACTTGAACTCATGTCATCACATATGAACTACTCTTAATATGTAATGAAGATGATCAAAGAAGCACCAAACAAAAGCATATGTCATGTTAACTTCAAGGAACCAGGAGTTTCTTTTTATATACTAAACCACAAGGTGGTAACGAAGTGCCAAGCAAACTGCAATCCCCGTGGAATCAATGGTTCTAGTACTACAGATGCCAAATGTGTCAAGGCCTGCCCATATGACTGAAGGGTAACACAACCCAGAGAATGTGGGAATACTCAGGGTAACTCAGTTTAAAGAACAAAGAGAAAACTAAACATAAGAGAAGATTCCCAAAAGAAACACAAAATTTAATTTATTTATCCAATACTGGTTTGTCACCAGCTTACTTGAACAGATAAAAAGGAAGATTTCATTTGCATAAAGTATTGTAACTTACCAGACACCTTTCGCCCTTTTTCCACCTTTACAGCTGAGACAAGCACTGATAGATTGCGTCTTAAATGCCTGATGTTTCCAGTACTAACACACTTGTGCACTTCCTTATATAAGCAACGCCATACCAAATTCAACTCTTTGGGCTCCGTTGTCTCGCATAATTTATTAAACACGGTTTCTATGATGTTCAAAATGGTTTTTGACTCTGAAATGAGACGGATAGAGATAATCAAATTATGTAATCTAACACATTTCAAATCATGTAGAAACATAATTACATTTACAAACAGCAACACCAGGATAACAACAAATGAAGGTCCTAATACTAGGAGACAAGATGAGCTGGTTAAAATATCTACTTTTGTCTCTCTTGCCTGTTTTGTCACTACTTGACTTCCTCCTTATTAAGTCTCTTCTTTTTTTGTTCCATGGTTTCACAACTTTTACTTTGTTATGTTTCATGTTTGGAACCTAATCATATCTTCTGTTCTATTGCATATATTTAATAATATTAATAGTTTTCCAGCTTTTAATCAATTTTGTTCCATCTCCATGTAATCCTTTTTGGCTCCAGTTTATTCTCACACTCTGTTGCATACTTCTTTTCAGTGTTACTAATATCGAGTAGTTTAGTTGATTCAATCGTATACAAAATGAACATACTCTATGATCAGAAATCTAGTGAAATAAAGGAAAAATTGAATTGTTATTTTTTAGTATAGAACAAGCTTGCCTTGGTCGGCTCCATCAGCAATGGTATAAATTGTTTCGCTTGTCAATATCTGTAACACTCGCTCTGCTTTTGAATGGAGCGTTGATGAGTAACCTTTCATGATATTATAAAGCAATAATCCAACACCAGACTTTCGGCATGGAGACGGCTCCTTCACTGCCTCGGCGATGACACTTGTAATTCCTGTCCAATCAAACATTATTACAAGCTTTATAGCCACCCAAACTAAGAAAATCATTAAATCAAAGAGAAAAGGACAGAATTAATTCAACGCCATGAAGCATTTTGGAACAGATGTATACCAATATCGGGATATTGATTAAATATGTGAACAAAGGCAAGACAGTCAGCGGAGGAAATATATACACAATGAAAAATAATCAATGACATCCAATACCTATTTTGAGTTGCTTATTTGGGGCCATTCTGAAAACAAATGACACTGCCTCTGCCATGAATTGTTGAACATATTCCTTTGGATAATACCTCAATCTTGGTGTGGCCCTTCAAGTATCAAGGTCAAAGAAACATAGAAGAATCAGACTTGTAGTTGGCTAAATTAAGCAAAACAATGAATTGAGATTTCTCTTTTTTTGTATCACTCACTTAAGCACTTTTGATGGGTCGTGTTCTAGATATTTCTTCAGATACATCATAACATATGACCATGACGTGAAGATCTGTATGAAAATGAAGAGTATCATAATTCACACTGAATATAGGAAACTAACGAATGAGAAATGAACAATATCTTAATTAAGAAAATTGCCAAATTGATAGACTATACCTGCTCAATTATATCTGGCTCCCTATCAGCTCCACTTTCTAGAAGAGATACTAAAGAATCAACAATTCTTGGAAATAGCCTGGCAAAACCCAAATATACGGTGAATATGAAAGATGTTAGAAAAAATGCCGGTAAGAAAGTCATCAATTTATTTCTAAAAAGAAATTTGGCAAATGAAATAAGTGGAAATTCAAAAATAGGCAACATCTAGTGAAAGTGATAAGCAACTTACGGAATAAACTCTTGTAGAAGATCTCTAGATAAATCTGCAATTAACCTGAAAACAAGTGTTGAGATTAATTTGCAACAATTGAGAAGTAATAAATGTAGCGAAAAAGAAAGTTGCAAGGAGAAATAGTGAAGGTAGAGAGAAAAGATAAATAGTAAAAGAAAACCAATTTCATTAAATTGGCACTCTATCAGGCCATATAGAGTATCAGAATTAACACAAACAGCTGTTGGTCTTGAATACACAATTTAGTAATTCAATGAGTTGCATACATAAGAAGCGGTTCAAGGGAGAGCCTTGATTTGATGTGCAACCTAGAAAGTAGGTTTGAGATTAATAATTCCTTCTGCAACAGCACGAGGCAATGTGTTTGTGTACAAGGCATGACTTGTTCGTAGAATGAGATAAAATCCTCGGTAGTATTCAATTCCTGGATTTGAAAAAAGAATAAAAATGAATTGGGTCTTAGTATCAGAAAAGGTAAAAGAAGTTGGTTATGAAAATACCCTCCAATATATTAGGGCGTCTCTGAAAAAAGAACCTTCCAGAGGCACAGCTTTGATCCGTTCAAGACTTGTATAAACATCGATTTCAATATCATGTATTCTCTTGGAGAATGACCGAAACTGTAGATATAATAAAAATACAGGTTTAAGGTTTTGTCAGTTCCCGCCAACGGTAATGTAATGGTGTGAGACACCGGAAGAGAGTTTTTCAACGGTAATGTAATGGTGTGAGACACCGGAAGAGGAAGAGAGGGAGGCGAAAACTTACAACAAAATTATTGTCACTATCAGGGGATTGGTTGAGAGACTTCACAGCTTGAGCGTGTGAAAGCGTCGCCATCGCTACAAAAGGTTCAAGAGAAATAGAGTAGAATCCACTATTATAACGTATTATCAATTTCTTAAATACTATACCATCGCCTTCTCATTGGCCCACCCATTTCAAATAATATCTATTTTTAATATAATTACTATAAAAGATCCGATAAATACAATACAACTTTTTTTTTTTAATAGGATGGTTATTGATTTTTTATTGGATATCCATAAAACCCTTACAAAAATTAAAAATAAATAGCTAAAAATTAGTAAAACCCTAGAAAAAAACGAATTTAACCACTTTTTAATGATATTAAAAATAACTAAATATCTTATTTAAACAATATTAGAATCGAACCAAGTTTGATTGAATCGATAACACGTGGCTAATAATTATAACTAACCAACCCTACTCGGGAAATCGGTAAAATAGCTAAATATCCAAAATATGAAATTGCTTAAAAATAGAATAGGTGGTTTTGATTTTATAACTTCCCTTTTTTGTTTTCTATACTTTTCCTTTTCAAATCTACAAAATGGCCAAAAAAATAGAAAATTTTAGAGTCAAAACTAAGATTAGTTAAGTAATTTTATTTATTAATATTTATGTATTTTTATTATTAATAAAACAATTCTATAATTATTAACTTATTTATTTATTATTAACAACTATGTTCTTCTACTAACTAGTTAAAAAATTTAAGGATAAAACTTAGATACAATTCAATAGGTGTGGCTCTTACTATTTTCTAATAACAATATGATAAGTATACTAAAATATAAATTAAAGAGTGAAAATAGAAGAAACTTGCATATGTGTAAGAAGAAACAATACACTTGTCATACTCATTAACAACTATATTCTTTTACTAACTAGCATTTCAATTGAACCAAGAACGATTTCTGCAAGTGTTGTACTCTAAAATTTGCCCTCTCATTTATCAAATATTTTCTCACAAGATCTCCTTTGGTTCAAAACTGCACAAGGATTAATCAGCTCAAGACACCTCCTTAAGCATTAATGACTAAAATTAGGGTTTGAGATTGCACAAGGATAATTGAACTTTCAATGCCTCATATGACTTCCATGGATCATTATGGATCTCGAGATTACTCATGTCAAGTTTCAAGCTTTGGATCACATTTTTGCCCAGTCAATTGACCAGTTGACCTAAAAATCAATTGCATTGGGGAAAAAGTCAATTGTGACCAATTTACAGTCAAACTTCATAATTTTTTACCCATATCAACATTATAAACTCATATTTATCATTTGATCAAGTTTGGACCATAATTTCTCAAGAAATTTGATCAAATCATCAAAAGGGCAAAATGGTCAAAATTAGGGTTTTGACTGAGAAAGGGCAATTTTTTATTTTTGACCTAGCAAATGGTTAATTTGTTTGAGGCATGATCTCAAGAGGTCAATTACATCATTTTGACTTAATGGCATGACTCAAAATATTGTTCAAGTCCAATTGATTGACAGATGAATTTGAAGCCAACTGATTAAATATCAATTGTATACTGAAAAGTCAAACTTTGACTTTTTGGTCAATATCAAGTATCAAAGATCACAATTCATCAAAACATGTCAAAATATGAAACGTGTTCATCAAGAAATCAAAAAGTCAAGATTTCATTTTGAAAAGTCAAAGTTTTCAAACTTAGAAATTTTTCTAAGTGTTGAAAACTTCATGTTTTTTCACAATTTTGAGCCAATTTTTCACCATGAGATCTACAACATTGTTTTACACAACTTCTCCTATAAATGCTTGGATTTCAATTTATTAATTCATGAAGTCATGGTCTTGAAATTAAACACTTAGTGAAAATTTTACCTTAGTTTAGGCAGGATTTTGACCTAACTTCATAGCAATTTTTCATATAGTTTCAAGGAGAATTTTCAAAAGTGATTCAAAGAGGGGTTGTAGAGCATATTACAAGCTTTCTAAAATATCCAAGAACTCCTTTAGATAATTCTTGAGCAAGGAGAATCGAATAGAGGAAGTTAGGGTTTCAAACTGAAATTATAAGTCATTTGTGATGAACAAGAATTCAAATCTCAAACCTATGCTGCATAATCTTTGCTTTACATGCCTCAAACTTGTTAGGCACTCCATAATTAAATGCTTTCACAGCTGTTAGAGGCTTCAACTAAAGCATTCAATGCAATGGCCATGCTTTATGTCCATTTTAGGAAGAAAGTGCACAATGTCATTTTGAAAAAGTAGCTTTATGTACAAAACTTGTTCTTGAGCTTTGCAATTGTTTTCTTCTGATTATACACGACCTATAACTCAAAATAAGTTTGTCTCAAGCCTCACAATCACTTAGTCCATGCTTGTACTTCATCTTGGAACCATACTTTCACTTTTCTTTAAAATCAAGTAACATAGCAATCAGTCTAGAGCTTGTACTTCTTACCCTCTCAAGCACTAAAACCTTCTCATTACTTATGTACAAGTCCTTGGTATCAAACCACGTGCATGCTTAAGCCCTCAAACACACAAAAACTCAGAACTGTATCACATACCTCCATTCTTGCATAATCTGACCAAAAACTTGAAACTTACATCTCCCTCGTGCGTTTTCAAGGCTTTTGGTTCCTAAAGCTTCTAAACACGAAATACAACTCATCCCAATACATGTTACACGACTATAACTCCATTTCCACCATTGTCCAAACTCAAAAATATACCACTGCAAGTGGACTTCTCTAGACCATTTCATCCACTCTCCATCCAATCAAATCATTGCATTAGCTTCCTGGGACCTCAGTGGAGTTATTCTGATCATCACAACACCTTGAGGAGTGATCAAACTCAAAATATGATTTCCAGATTTGAGGTAAGTTTCTTTAACTTTGAACTCTTCATACAAGCATCATTAATGGTTTATTTGTGAATAAGAAATGTAGATATCATTGTCCTGAAGCTAACCATGTCCTTAGATTTCATTATTATTGCTTGAGTAGTTAGAATTTTGAATCTGAACCCCTGAAAATATCTAGGTCAGGATTTGGTACCATTAGAAATTCATGCTCATTTTTGGGAATTAGTTTAAGTTATTTACATTTCTGAAATTGTGTTGAAATTCTACACAACTTTCATGTTTACATTTTTGCAAATGGTTGAGAAATGAACAAGTTGCAGGGATTCTGGCTGGAGGTTGAAGATGAAGTTATAACATGGACTTGTTTTGTTTTAAGTTTATTGATTGTTGTATAATGAGCGGATGAAATAGGCCACCCCAGTGGTACAACAAGCGCGCGCGTATTAGGAGGTCGTGGGTTCGAGCCCCAGCGAGACCTTTTGGCAATTTTCTCATTTTTTACACTTTTCCATTTTTTGTTTGCAACCAACAGGCGCTTGGGCCTTCCTCCTTTGGGCCTGAGATTTTTTACTAGCCTTCCACCCTCTTGACTGTTTTTAACACCCCTGACCCTAATTTTGTGTTTTTATATTTTCATATTTTTTATTTAATATTATTATTATTATTATTATTATTATTATTATTATTATTATTATTATTATTATTATTATTATTATCATTATTATTTTTTTAATACCATTTTTTTGCTACTAATAAAAACCCAAAAAATATTTATATTTTTATAATTTATATTTATTTAGTTTATTTTCTTCATAAAAACTAAAAGAACAAAAAACATGTTTCACTTAATAAATTAATTTCTTTTTTATTCAATAAATATTTAGACTAGGATTTAACTAGTATGTTATTTTCTTATGAATAAATTAATTAGGATTTCTTTTAATTAATTAATATCCATATTAATTTTACTAATTTAAAACCTTTTCATAAATAAAAACCCTAAAAAATATTCTTTTTAGTTATTTTCTTTTCTTATTAAGGTTAGGTTTATTTTGCTTAATTTTCCTTAATCATTTTCAATTAGGTCAAGACTTAAAACCCTTTCATATAAAAACTCAAACAAAAAACAATCTTCTTTTCTTTTGCATTACCTTTATATTTTTGTACATTTATTCAAATTCAATATGATTGTAATAATTATTTAGATTTAATTTCTTGCAATTTCCCATTTGTAATTTGTACACCCCCTCCCCTAAATTATGTAATAGCTTAGTATTTTTATTTTCCGCAATTTAAATGTTTTATATACAAATGCTAGTATTTAGGGTTTTGTATGGAAAGATTAAAATCAACAAATAGAAAACCCTAATCAAGACAAATCAAGCATGTAAATTAATACACTTGCATACAAACACCCATAGGGTAAATCCACTTGGTTGCCTTACAAAAATGGTCATGTTATGCATGTGAGGTATCTTAGCAAAAACAAGCAAAATACAAGATCATAGTCCCTCGATGACGCTATCTATGTTGTCTTTCAAAATGATCTTAGTCCCTAAAGAAAATGCTAAGATATCTTACAATATTGCTAATCATGGTTATACGATGACCCGCGCTCGTCCCTTTTACATCCAAAGATAGGGTTACTTACCAAATCAATGGTAAGATAACAATGTCAAAGGAAAGAGGAAATAAACATGAAAGACTTTTGAGTAAGTAGATTACTCCTAGTTACTTTCTCAATTTCAAAACAAAAACATCCTTTCTATTTTCAAAACAAACACCAACACCTTCAAAAACATCTTTCAAACTTGAAAACATTTTCAAAAGATCAACACTTTGTATACATTCTTACGAACGAGAATCATTACAAAGTTTGCCTAAACAAAGGCATCTTTACAAAATACTTTCAAAAACCACACCAAAAGCACATTTTCAAACAAAAGCAAGTGATCTAGCAAGTAACTAAGAGCCCATGGAAAACCATGGATGAAAAGGGTGTTAATACCTTCCCTTTTCATAATCTACCCACCGAACTCAAGAAACAATCTCAAAGGTCTTTCCTGTGCTTTTTTACCTTTCCTTTTGGATAAAAGAAAAGTCGGTGACGACTCTTGCTAACCACAACATTTGCAATCAAACGCAAAACAACCAAGTCAGGTCTCCCACCGTATCACAGAACTAGCG